GCGTCTGGGTCCTGGGAGATGGCTTTTCTGTGGTCAGCACAGAAAGCAGGTGGTCCGATACCTTCTTAATGTAGTGTGTAGAGGGGATGAATTACTTCCCCTGCTCCAGAGGATGAACAGTACTGTTGTGTGCACGCAAGAGAGAGAAGGGAGAGCTGCCATCTGCTGTTGGAAAGATTCTGGTTCATCTTTTAGCCCAGGCACTAACTGCTGCAGGTGACTCATTAATGCCAGTGACTCCCACCCCACTGTTTTAGCACACAGAGCAGTATTTCACAGGGGGCACTAGAGACAAGTAAAGTTTGCCCTGAAGTGCTGCTCTTCTCATTTCTAACTCAGAAAAAAGCCGAAGGATTTTACTGACATTTTGAAACTTCCATGCTAAGACACCAACAGCAATAGAAAGCTGGAAGGTATGGCAAAAAATGCCGTGCCTCCCCAGGAGGGAGTTTAATGGAATTATGAATGACATTTTTACATTTAAGCCATAGCTAGTCAATTAAATCAATGTTTAGACCTGATAGCTGCAATGTTTTTCAAAAAGCTGAGCACTCCCTATTACTATCGAAATGAAAGAACTGCTGATGTCCTACACTTCTAAAATCTGTGTACTTATGGTGAGAAAAAATTTTTGATCATCTACTGAAAAGGCAGCTCATTTAATGAAAAGTCGCTTTGAGTCAATCAAAATTATTTATGAGCTTCTGAAAACATGTTTACTCTTACTTTCTAAATGACATTTTAAGCCAGTTTAGCTAAATGTAACATTCTTTTTTACAGGAATAGGCATCCAAATATTTAATATGAATTGAATAAAATATTTCAGTCATTTAAATAGCAAGTTAATCTTGTTTAAAAAAAAAAAAACCACTGAAAATTCTGCATACAAAGGTACTGCTTGTTTATATTTTTTTCCAAGAGAGAAAATGAATGAGGAAAAAAACCATCCATATCACCCTAGTCATTTACAGGGGAGCCACACAATTCAATAATTCAGGACCAGATCTTTCACAAATGAATAAAAATTCATATTGCAGCAGTGTGGTGCTGATTTGCTCTGAAAGTAAAGACTTTTCACTTATTCTGTTGAGTTTTTTCATTGCAAATTGGTATTTTTCCAAAGGCCAAAATGAAAAAAAAAGAATAATTCTAGAGTATGTGTACCAGACTCAAATAATTTTCCAGTAGGAATGGTGGCAGGAGCACCAAGAGCAGCTGCAGATGAGTGTTCAGCCAATTCAGTTGTTTGTGTTCGTGAGTTTTTAAGTAGTGACGTTCTGCTTTTGTAGGTGCATACATTTAAGTGTCTAAATACAAGGTCATAGTCTATGTTCGAAGTTTTTTGGCATATTGACCCTGTAAATAAAGACTGGGTTATTTAAAAAAAAAAAAAGATAGTTCAGAAAGAAATTATTGATTCAATGCAGGAATTATGGAGTAAACGCCAAGGCCTGGTGTATGTCAGAAAAAACCATAAGACTTATCCCCAAAACAGATAACAGATTTTTGTCCCCAATATTCTTCAGAGGGCAAAACTCTTAATCCACTTGTGATAATGCTTTTAACTTAAACTAGTCAGCCTATGAGAGCATCTAATTGAAAACATGAATTAGGGATCTCATCAGCAGCTGTCACACTCTCACTCAGCTGGGCTGAGTCAAAAGAAGTCAATTCAGAGGAGGGCAGGTGAAATCCACTTTGTAGGGTGGCCGTACCTCATGCTGACTCCTCCTGATTTGAAAACCTGCCCAAAACACACCAGCGCAGATTTTTCTTGGGGTGATTCTGTGGGTTTTCAGCTGCGTTTGCCTGAGAGCGGAGGCCACAGTAGGTACGTGCAGCAGATGGTGCAGCCGATTGCTTCCTCTGCAGGGACTCAGGGTTAGCAACTGGTTTTCCCAAGGTGGGTTATAAGGTGTGCTGGAGAGAGAAATAAACACCACCATTATGCGGCAAGCCCTTAATGGAGTTACTGATGTTACTCTGGGAAGAAGGCACAACAGTTTCTTCTGTTCCTACGCTGAGGTTTCTAAGGTCTGGGGCAGCTTCTGATGCTCACCAGCTCTCCCACCACTCCACCCAACTGCAAAGACAGCTTGAACTTGGCAAGGCAGAGGCAGGTTTGCAAAACCCACGCACCCCTTCCCCTCCGGATGCAAAGCGTGGTACGGAGAGGAGCGCCTCAGCCTTTGCGCAGTCTGTTTGTAGCCTTTTCCTTTGAGAAGACAAAGGTGAAAATGAAAAGCCGTTCAAAACAACCTCAGTAGCTGAAAAAAGCTGCGCTCCCTTCAAAACTGAAAAGAGAGCTGGAACCCCAGAAGTTCCTGCAACACAAACTTACTGCAGCATAGGATGATGATGCTATCCTAACGAGTGTCAGACGCTTTGGGGCTGAATCATGGTCTCGCTGAGCTGGTCGGATATCCTCAAAGCTGCAGGCTGCCACAGGATGGCCACGGAGGGTAAGAAACTGCTCCAAAGCAGAAAGAAAACAAATTAAAAAATCTTTCAGAGACTTGCCAATGAAGTTTCTTTGGCTCCGTGTCTGGGCATCGCTCCCAAATTCAGCCTCTCGCCCTCAGATAAAGCACTACAGCCTGGAATGAGAGTCAGATGGCGTGGGAGGGGAGTGCGCATTATCTGTGCCTGGGCTGGAAAACATATGTACTGTAATGCCTAGAAAATGCTTTTTATTTTAGGCCTTTCTCCAGAAAACCTTTTTCCTTGCTTTTACAACTGTCCCCTGTTGCTTGGGACTCCCCAGATGTTAAACCCAGCCCGGAGGACAGGGAGGCTGAGGAGTTTTCTTTGCGCTCTTCCCTCTGCCACCCAGATGTGGGAGTAGCCAGCCTTGGGCACGCTGCCTGCAGCCCACGGCACCGCTCCTCCAGGGACGGGCGAGAAGAGATGGTCACCCCAGACAGCGGGGTGACCCGTCCGCACCGACCAGACCCACAGCTTCTGGCTTTGTCTGACATGACGAGTGGATCGAGTCCCGGCCTCAGCAGAGGGGGGGGGTGGAACACAACCACATACCTCGTGGGGCGAAAGGGGGGAGAGAGGAAGAGGAGATCCTGGCAGACTGTCGCTGGCCTATTCCAACCATTTTGTCATGAGGTTATGTTGCTGGGTGGATTGATTGTTACATTTTTTAAGTCTGTATCCTGGAATTTTGTAATTATGTGAGGATTTTAGCTATTCTCAAATTAAAAGCAAACACGAGCCACCACCGTCAAACCGCATGTCCTTAGCCTGCCAGATCGCAGAAAGAAGCTGGAAAAATGTGAATACTTTTCTTTTTCACATCACGATGTCAAAATCAATCTTTTCCCGGAGGGCGGGAGTTGGCTTCTGGCTGGAAGACGGCAGGGCGGTTTTAACCCAAGGGAGAGGCAGGTGAAGACAACCGCTATGACCGAGGCCCAGGGGCAAGGCTGGAGAACTGGGGAAGTACTTGTCAGAACAGAGGAAGGGGAGAGAACGGGGACTTCGTCAGGGCCACTGCCAGACGCGGCTGCGGGATGGCCCAGGAAGGGCTGAGGCTCCTCTGCCCCTTGCTGCTCCCCTGGGCGGGGCGGAGGCCTGACGGGAGGCGCAGACGAGGCCT